GAAATGTGGCCAAAATGCAAGTGTTTTTATGCTGTGGAAACAGGCTTTAAGGAGTGTTTTTTCCCCCTGCTTCCCATATAACCATAAGTGGCAGAGATCACCATATGCAAGTTAAAAATATCAGCACTGTAATCAAAAGCCTTCCTGTGAAGTTGTGATGACTTCGATGTTTGTATATAACAGGTGAGATCAGAATTTATATTAAACATCCCTGGCTAGGAATTAAAATGTAGAAACCATGTAAAGACGCAATACATCAAATTAAAATGCTGACCAAAGCCAAGGGGTCCGATAGTCAGCCTGGAGCATAATCTAAAAATACTGCCGCACATGTACATTGGAGAAAGCAGCAGTCTTCCTTCCAACTTGACCTAAGAAAGTTAAAGAAGTTCCACGGTGTCACAAGATCCGCCCCATGACATCATTAGCATAGCATAAATAAGAAGGAACTGGTCCATGGCTCAGGACCACTCTCCTGGGACTCCGGCTTCTTGACTTCTGCTCCTTCGCTCCTGCGCCCCAAAACTCCATCATGGTGTGTACTTGGATTACTCTTGCTATTTTATTATACCTTTTTCATGTTCATCTGCCTCAAAAACTGGCAATGTGAGATGTTGGCAGGTGTGCCAATGGAACTGATCCATTGTTGTCTTTCTGGCAGGCTGGAGAATTCAGTGCTGACCAGATTGAAGGTGAGTCTTCACACATTGGAGTTTATTACATTTGGAAAAATGTTTTTATGACTATAGTACTCTATTACAAATGTAATGGATATGTTGGAAATGTATAATGTCGTGAATTCAGGAAAGACAATTCTTCCTCTGTAAAAAAAGAAGAAGAAGAAAAACTACTTCCAGCTATTTTAGTTGCTGCCTTTTTTTTAAGTATACAACTTATATTATATTAAACTGACTTTTAAAAAAATGAAGTTGAATCTCGTTGAATCAAGAAAACTTTAAAAATGAAGTTGAAATTGGTTAAATTAATTCAATTACTTTTTGAGTGCAGTAAAGAATTCTTCCTCTTCCACAGTAAATAATTATGTACAAAATAATAACTGAAATATGTAAGGACATGTTTAATAATAGATGAACAATAGATTAAAAAATAATTAATATTGGTGAATATCTCTAATTGTAACCAAAATGATACAAATGATGAAATACTTTTTTGTATTATTATTATTATTATTATTATTATTTAATTATTAATTATAATATTTTTTGTTAATAGATTTTTGGATGATTTATTAAAATTCAATTATATTGCATCTTTTTTTTGCTCTCCAGTGCTGAGTATGCAAATTAAATGAATGTAATTTGATTAATGTTCATTTGGAAGATTTGAAACATGGCAAACCATAAAGCAGGATGAATTTTAATGCATATTTGTTTGAACTAACTGATAAATTGAGTAAAATCAGCTGGTTTAGTATATGTAGAATGGTAGCATGTTCTGATGTAGTAGTCAAAATATTTCTGATCCAAAGCCCACATTCACTTCTCTACAGAAACAATTCATCGGTGCCAAACCTCTGGGGCAGTTCACAGCACAGTGTTGCTCATTTAGGTGCAGAAAGTATGCAGTTGGTTGTAGGTGTAGGTTACGTTGCTGTCAGCATTCTTGTATTTGACTTTGGTCAGTTGTAGAGCATGTAACCATGTATGGCAAGGGCTACTTTCTCTGAGGGTATCGCCTGTCACTTCACGCGTTAACCACCCCCATCATGCACAGCTGCTGGAGCACAGAAGCCGTAGGATGCTATTTTTCTGTCAGCAGATCACTTTCAACTTGGTCTCCCTCACCGCCCATGGAAATGCAGTTGCTAAGCTCTTTTTAATTTGCCTTCCTTCCTTCCTCCTCTGCTGCAAGTACAATTGGCAAAGGAGGGAAGTGGGAGAGGAGGCACTGCAAAGAAAAAAAGTGTCCTTGACCTTACCTGATTTTAAAGCAATAATGTTCCTAAACTGTTGTAAGCAGGTAATTAAGTAAATAAATAAATACATTTATTTTACAAAATGTGAATTTCCAAATGCAACTTACTAGCAAACTTTATGTTTTGTCTGGTGCCATGTTGTGAGATAAATTGAAATACTATGACATTAGTCCAAATTATGTATTATGTACATTAGTTTAAATTATGAGATTATGATCCACCCTTAAAGTGTCTATCTGCTTCCAGGTAACCTTCTGTTGTCCTTCTGTTACAGACTTCAAAGAGTCCTTTGGTCTCTTCGACAGAGTTGGTGACAGCAAGGTTGCCTTCAACCAGGTTGCTGACATCATGCGTGCCCTGGGACAGAACCCCACCAACAAGGACGTGAAGAAAATCCTGGGTAACCCATCCGCTGACGGTATAAGACTTTATATTAAAAACGAACGGATATCATTCGAAATGCTTTACAAACCCTCACTGATTTGTGATGTATGTGTGGAACTATATGCACACAGATATGGCCAACAAAAGACTTGACTTTGAGGGTTTCCTGACAATGCTGAAGACTGTTGACGGCATCCAGAAGGGTTCCTATGATGACTACGTTGAGGGTCTGCGCGTCTTTGACAAAGAGGGCAATGGCACAGTGATGGGAGCTGAGCTGCGCATTGTGCTGGGTACACTGGGTAAGTGAAGATGAAATGATTATGCAGTTCACACCATGCATGGGAAGGCAAATTGCATAATATAATGTTACATAATATAATTACAATACAAATTAATGTATCTTAGCACAGTGATCAGTTGGTAATATCATGGTGTTTTGAATTACCATTAAAAGGTTTGTGGTCGGTAATCTTGTTTTTGAAAGGAGTCTCTAATGCTCACCAAGGCAAAATACAGTAAAAAATGGAAATATTATTACAATTCAAAATAACAGTTTTCTATTTTCATACATTTTAAAATGTATTCAGCAGCCATTGCTCCAGTCTTCAGTGTCACATGATCCTTCAG